GACCTTATGGGACTTCTTCGGTATGTCCGACTAGAAATATCCCTCGGACGTCCAAAAGAATTTCCGGGACGTTTGGACCTTAAAACGACATAAAATGGACGTCCCAGGGATGTCCTGTGCTGTCTGGGAAGATTCGCCGATGATATACTCCTGATACTTCGAACGCAAACGAACTAATAAAATATGGCAGAGTATGACTTATAAACAGTTAACTGTAGAATTTAATAAAGGGTTAAGTTCATCAAGAATACCTGAGGAGTGGAGAACATGGATGCAAAAGACACAAGATCGAAACAAATGGAAACTTATAAGGGAGATCTATGTTAAACAGTATACAAGCGAATATTGAATGATGATGATGTGTGTTGCCAGCATAGCCGAGTATATAATATGATATTATGGTACACATAAGTGATATACACATTCAGTATACTCATAAAAGCGGCCTCCACGGCAAATGGTCGAATTAAAAGCGACTTTACGGACCCATTTGGTTTTAAAATTTGCAGCTATTCTATAATACCCACAATTTTTGTAATAGATTTGCACCGTAGGTAGAGGTCTCTAATTTCTCATTCAGCAAAATTTTGGTAGAAAATAACAATCAGTTAAAAGAAATAAGTGAAAAACATTACGGACTCCGTATAATGAGTCCATAAATCGCTTGAGTCCGTTGTGTATGGTCAAAACCTTAATGTAGAGTCTGCAATATATATATATATATATATATATATAATGTTCGGAAAGATTTCCGCGGTTAGTACAATAAATCCTAGAGCTAAGATTAATATTATTACTAAAATTAATATTAAACTTACCAGTCTTCCGGGTTGAACCCCGTCGTAATCCATTTTGCCAAGCTTTCGGCATCCTCTCTGATGCCTTCCTCAGGGCTTCCGAGGTCTCAGTCTTCCGAGCCCCCAGACACTACTACACTGTTCACTATTCACGGCACGATCACTACTTACTTACACAGTAGTATTCCATTCAACAGTAAACTTCATATATATATATATATATATATATATATATATATATATGTGTGTGTGTCGGAAAGATTTCCGCGGTTAGTACAATAAAACCTAGAGCTAAGATTAATATTATTACTAAAATTAATATTAAACTCACCAGTCTTCCGGGTTGAACCGCGTCGTAATCCATTTTGCCAAGCTTTGTACTACTACTAGTAGTGATCGTGCCGTGAATAGTGAACAGTGTAGTAGTGTCTTGGGGCTCGGAGACTGAGACCTCGGAAGCCCTGAGGAAGGCATAAGAGAGAATGCCGAAAGCTTGGCAAAATAGATTACGACGCTGTTCAACCCGGAAGACTGGTGAGTTTAATATTAATTTTAGTAATAATATTAATCTTAGCTCTAGGTTATATATATATATATATATAATATATATATATATATATAATATATATATATATATATATATATATATATATATATATATATATATATATATATATATATATATATATATACACTTCATCTAATTTATATAACGATGCACGTCATCGGCGTCATAGCCTGTGACGTCACATGATACCAACACAAAATATTTAGGGTGTAGGTGTGTTCTTTTGTAGAATCACTTTATCCAGTACACTGACATTACAGCCATTAGACATATTTTATTATATATGCGTAGAAATCATATTTAAAAATTTCTATTAATGTTAACTTGAAGAAATACACAATAATATGTTTCATTTAATTTGTATAAATGCATTATAAAGCGTTTTCATCAAGAACATTTGTTCGGAACACACTGTAACTGTAATCGAACGAAGGTACAATTTTGGCATAAATTGGTAACACTTATTTGACAGTTGCGGTGTTGACACTTTTTGTACTTCATTATTTTGAATTTTAAAGTGAATATCTCTTGTTTTATATTTTTAACTATCTAATAAAATCTGTTCATTTTAGAACAAAATTAGTGTGTTTTTTTCAAAAATGTCACGTAAGAATTTAAATAGTCGTTGTAAAGAGATGGTAATACTTTTGCAATAATTATGTAATCTATTTGATTTAAAATGGAGTCAGGATTTTTTTATACTTTGGCAACTATGTCAACTTCGATCTCTGACGTAGATAATGACGTAAGTCGTTATCTAAATTAGATGAAGTATATATATATATATCGTATATAGGAACGATACTAATAGCAGCGCCGCCAAACGAATGGGCGTATGGGCGCTAAATCCGAACGTGATTTGACATTGCCTATCTCTGTTACCAATCTAGGTGTAATTGTATCTATGATACTAATTATTACCTAACCATAGATCAAGGTTAGTACACAGTATTTGTCTATACTGTGGTTAGTAGATATTTAAGTTAGTAGATACTTAAATATCTACTAACCTTGACCATAGATAAAGAATATATATTATACCCGGTTCGCTATTCCCAGTCCGAACTGTCTAGTGATTTTAGTAATTATTTTTTTTCGAAGTTAGTTACTTTTTGACAGAATCGAAGTGGCTGGAAAATACTATACAACCAAGCATACGTGCTCTTAGTCAATATTAATGTAAACAAAAGTAAATAAAATAGAACTTTGCCGACAATCAATATTTATTTATTTACACCGTATAATGTATTGATAACAAATAATAAAATTATTTATTGTACAAAATAAAAAAGTGGGAATAAATTCTACAAAATTAAGAAGTCAAAGTTAAATAAGAATAAGTCACAGCAAGTTCCTTATGTATTTACAACATTTACATAATTCGATAAATACATTTTAATGATCAACTTACCTCAACAGGGTTTTCATTCGGCAAATAATTTAAAAAAATGGTAGGCATTTTGAATAAACCTTTGTGCAGTTTTATTACCTTGTAATCTAGGAACAGCATCCTTACTAATCTAAAAATATTAACTTAAAAAAAAACTTTTTAAAAAACATTTTATCATATTAATTAAGAAAAACTTACCAACGCATTAGCTGATGGAACAAATGGAAAACTTTGACTATCCATAATAATAAAATTTAAAATATAACTAATTAACTGAATAGAACTAACAAAAGAATTAAACAAAGATAATAAAACTATATTAAATTAAATAAACAACGCGAATAATACAAATATTTACTACAATATTTTAAATTGTAAAAATTCAAATATATTTTAAATATACAGGGAAATTTTGATTGGTTTAGTATACACTTCCACTATTTCGAATAATTCTTTTTTTCAAAGAAAGAAGTCTGCAATAGTAGTATACTTGAGCTATTAATACTGAGAAGTAGGAATTGTTGTGTTGTAGGTTTCCGACAATGAGTCTGTCAAAATATGCCCTAGCTAAGCGAATAGACAATACTACCTAACTTCACTAACTGATGTCAAAAATGTCATTCAGTCCAATGAGAAGATGGAATGCAAGGTGGCAAATAGCCTCTATGGTCTGTTTTTTAACCAGGAGGAGTAATTCAAATTTTCCGCGCCGTAATTCTTGTTTGTAATTGGTCCAACCGCAGGCAAGTTTACTCCACTAAATTATGACATATTGACACTAATGACATTTGTGAAATTTTAAAATTCAAAATTTATATCGACGATTTTTTTGTATTTTCTGCGTTATTCCTTACATCCATAGATTTTTCGTTTGCATTTATATAAAGAACAGTTCTTTTCAGAACTATTTAGTGTTATTAAGATAACAATATGGATTCAATGCCAAGTACTAGTGGTAATTATTCTTCTCCACCTTAAAAACGCCGAGTAGATTTGGGTCAAAGTAAAACAGGCAGTAGGTTAGTTTTGCAGAATAGTTATTATTAAAATCAAAACTTACTAAAGTAATGTGCTAATTTTAGGTGTTGCGAATTCAACTATTAACCAAATAATTAAAGAATATAAGCAGACTGGTAATATGCGAATATTATTTAATGTGATATTTTTCTAGATGATATTTATATTAAATATTATTTAAAGTATTGTTAAGAAGCATTTTCATTTGTTTTCATCACAATAAAAGAACATTAGTAAAGTAATATTGTGTTTTTAGTTTGATTGCATTGATGCAGTTGGTTTTGTTCTTCCTGGTTGTAGATAATCACAAGAAAACTGCCCAATTATGCTTGAATGTAACATAATATATTGAATTTGTTAATTTTAGTCAATTTTATTTATTGATAACAAATGTAACAAACTCAAGAATCCCGCATTAAAAAAATTGGAAGTACAAACTTATTAATACAAAGTATCTTTTTGCATTATAGTGCTTCAAATAGAACCTAAAGATATTGATACATAAGTTAAACAAATCTATCTAATGAGGTAACTGATTACCAAAATACCACACCTATATTTGAACCATAATTTATTCTGTGATGTGAATTTTAAAGCAGTGAACGGGAAGGAGTATGTAAAACAAATTGCCTGAAGCAATTCAGGAGATTGGATTATTAAGCTTAAAAATAATGATCAAAGTCAATGTTTAACTCTTCTGGTAAGAAAAAAAAACCTATATTCAAGAATTTAATCACATCAGAATAAAAATATGGTCTACGCAGTTTAAAAGAACAGTATTTCAGAAATCTTTGAACTGTCTCTAACTTTTTGATACATGCATTTGCATAGCTTTGTTGCATACTTATTAGATCTATTTGCAAATTAAAAGACAAATTTATGTGAAAAACCAAACTTAGATGAATGTGAAAAATGTGAAAAACGTCCTTTTTTTATTAGAATAATTGTAATATCTATTGGAAGTGAATTAAAAAAAAAAATTATAATTCAAACATAAATTAACAAAGTTAGGTTAGAATTGACGTGGAAGGTTGTCCGATATTGATTACTCGATTACCGCAAGGCCGAGATAATCAACAAAAAAGAAGATGTATTTGGTGACTTTTCTAGTAACTTTCTTGGGTGTGAATCTGTCTTTTTGGTTTACTCCTCCTGGTTAAAAAACAGAGTATAGTATGATTTTAGGTTGTCATCACCGAACTTGTCATTAAGGCAGCTGACAGATATTCAAACTTAAAAATTTAACGTCTGCAATACGCAACAAGTCAGTTCTGGTCAGTTGTATTTTTATAGTTAATTTTATTGCAAGTAATAATGGACAAAATAATAACGTTTGATAAAAGTTTTCAACAACGTTATACAGAATTTAATGAAGTACTTTCAAATTATACACTTCTGCCATCTTCACACCTTAAAAAACAATGGGGTTTTTTCATAGAATTAACTCTGGATAAGATTGGGTGGCAAGCAGTTTGGAAAATTCCCAGATTAAAATGTGAAGCACTGGATATTCCTTTTCCGTCCGTTGTTTTAGTTATAGTACTTACTATTAATACTAAGGAATTAACAGCATTGGTAAGAATACTAGCAGTTCAAGATGATATTTACATTCCGGAGAAACACTGGGTACCTCTAATGCAGCTTTGGCCTACTGAAGAACAAGATAAAAGTATTGCTTTAGGGTTAATGCAAACTGCAAATTCATTGGATATGTTAAGATTCTTTTATTTATATCTCTATATGCCTTGGGACAGAGATGAAGATGTTAATATAGATTGGAAGGAAACTCATTTAGAGAGTAGGTTAAGGTTTTATTACGATTTGAAAAATGGAAACATTCCTCGAGCTGTAGCTGAACATATACACTGTTTGTTAACAGAGGCTAGAAGGATGCAGAATAAAAGAGAGTTCATTGAGAATCAATTAACTCAGGAAGAAGAAAGTGAAGAATTCAATAAAGGTATGTTCATTAAAAGTTTTTAAACTATCTTATAGCTCCAATTATTGTATGTTTATGACGATAAAATTAAGGTAAATTAAATTTATTTCTTTTTAGATACTTCAGCAGAAAAAAGAACTAGAGCATTAATGGAGATCCACGTTCATTTACTAGAAATACGCACAGAGATAGAAATTGCAGAAAATCCATTACTAAGAGATATAATAATAGAGAGATATTCACAACTAGACCAGATTTCAAAAAACACAGATCCTCAAATTTGGTTGATTTTTGATCAAGGCACTGCAGATGAACACATAGACTTTTTAACACAAGTAAAGTCTTTGTATCCTAAAGATAACTTGAAATTTTGTACAAACCTTGCATCAAAATTAGAAAGTGCAAATACAAAAGATACTTATCTTGTAAATGAAAGTAACCATAATATATTTACTACAGGGGCTTTGGAAAAAGGAGGAGTATTAAAAGGAATAGGGTCATCAAATAGAGTGATAATCACTTCTGATATTGAAGATGTTATGTTTGACTTTAAAGGTGATTTGGTGGTACTTGAAAATCTAACAATTGATGCCAAATCTGCTCAGTGTGCAATACTTGTTAGACAAGGTAATCATTTAAGTTTTTTTTTTTAAATTTAATTGTTTATTGTTGAAATAGATTAAGTGCCATTTGCTACTGTTTCAAGTTATATTAAAAACCCTTCTCTAAAAATGGAAAAAATTTGAATAGTGGACAAAATAAAATTTAACACAGGAAGAGAGTTGTGAGACATGCCAATGAATATATGTTATAAAGTAGAACAGAATAAAAGGTATTTCATATGTTTCTCGAAAAATAGAAAATGGCGCTTACTCCCTTTCAACAATAAATGATTCAATTGTGGTAGTTTATATATCAGAGCCAAATAAAAAATTTTTGCATGTTATATACTAATATAAAGTGAAATTGCTATCTTATATAACTTATTTTCATTAAATTGTCATTAAAACCAAAGATTAATACTGAAGAATCTCTCAAACAGATTTTTTGGCATGAAATTTCCTTTGTCTTTTTTCTGTGATGTTAGATTTTCCGTCTGCTCCCTAACATCTTTTTGGTAGAATGTCAATGATTAATGTTAAAGAATATCTCTAGAATGTTTTTGTATTTCTCCTGCTTTACCATTTCATTTGAAATCCCATAAAATGTTCTCTGATCATTAATATTGATTAAACTAATGTCTTTTTTACATAAGTCCATCATCATTTTTCTGTGTTACTTATATTTTTATTATTTAGTAGGTAATATACCTTTAATGTTCATTAATAAATATTGAAGAACCTATTTTTGAATGAGACATACTTTTTTGTCCTTTGTTGTATTTCTGCCATGTTCTTTATACTTTTATTATTCTCTTTTCATTTGATATCTAATAAACTATTTCCACATGCCTTTCTTGGAACATGTTCTAAATCTTTGTTTCCTCTCACTGCTTTTATTTGATATGTAATATGTTTTTATGATCATTAAATTTAAAAAAATCTGTTTATAAATCTATTTAAAAAAATGGCCCAATGTTCAACTGAATTGGAGTTGGTCACACTATTCATGATGGTAGATAGCCAATGAAGAGATGTTACAAATTCCTGTAATTCCTGTGTTGTTTTATACTTTTAAATCATATAAATATCTAAATATTATTATGCTTTTCATTGTACAGTAGAGTTCTGTATAGGAAACATCCATAAAGGCTTAGAGAAAAGAGAGGGAGCTTTATTACAATGGTATACAACATGAGGGAGGGCATGAGTGCACATCCAATGTCATTTGGTGTATTTCAATTTGTAGCTATTGTCTCTATAAATACAATTTTTACTAGCATTTATCAGAGGCCAGCATTATTTAAAGTATCAGATAATATAAAAACGTAAAGTTTCAATCTATATACACTCCGCATCATAGAAAACAAACCACAGCAAATATTTAAAATATTTTCGAAATTATTATTTATTGCTACAAAATTAAGTGTTTTCTTTTTTTGTGTATTGAATTCATACTATTTTATTTTTAATGTATCTTAGGTAATTTAAATAAAATTGAGTGCTGTGAAAGTAAACCGACCCTGTAACTGGATTGAGTAATTTCATAGATCCTATAAAACAAAACAATTTTGAGAAAAGGTTGTTTGTGACTTGATCAATTTTTGGTGAAGCAATCGTTTTCTTGTTTAAAAGCGTTTCTTTTAAACACATCTCAGTATTACAGAAGTTGACTTAGTGTTAAGTAGTCTTGAATTAATAACGATGGAATATTTTCAAAAATTGTTTGAAATTGTAACATTACTGAGAAGTGGATTAAGTCAAAGACCAGTTACAAGACAATTGAATGTAAGTCGTACGACTGTCAAAGGACGCACGAACGATTTATTGTGACAGGACCTCACCAATGACAACCTGTTACCGGCCCAAAAAGAAAAACAACCGCTAGGGAAAACCGCGACGTCATTCTTCCTGCATTATGGAATCGGACCCAAAAAACTAGAATACTCCAATGCCATTTACAGCAAGCTCAAGAACCAGCAATCAGCCCTTCTACTGTTCAGCGCGAAGATTATGAGAACAAGGTTTGACAGCTTGCATTCCATCAGCGGGGCCCATACTTTCTCCAGCTCAGAAAAGGCGAAGACTCGATTTTGCTGTGAGCACATCAATTGTTCAGCAGAGGTTCGTATTCCAAAAATAGACTGGCCTGCTCAAAACCTTCATTTAAATCCTATTGAGCATATATCTTCTTCTTGTGCCACTCCTATCGGAGATTGGAAATCATCACGGCTATCCTGACCTTGTTTACAGCTGACCTAAAGAGTTCATTAGTGGTACAGCCAAACCACTCTCTCAAATTATGCAACCATGACATTCTTCTACGGCCTGGATTCCGTTTTCCTTTTATTTTTCCTTGTATTATATTTAGAAGTAATGCATATTTATGTCCTCTCATCAGGTGACCCAAATATTCAAGTTTTCTTCGTTTGATTGTTGACAAAATTTCTGGGTCTTTTCCTATCCTTCATATTACTTCAAAGTTTGTGACTCTTTCAACCCAACTTATCTTCAGCATTCGACAGTAGCACCACATCTCGAAACTTTCAATATTTTTTATATTGTTCTGTTTGAGAGTCCAGGCCGCTACACTGTATAATAGTGTGTTAAATATGTTGCCCCTTAGCATTCTTTATTGTAGAGGGATGCTTATATCTCTGTTGCAGAAGAATTTCCTCATCTTTATGAAGGTGGCCCTGGCAATTTCGATACTTCTTTTTATTTCATTGTTTTGATCTCCAGTTTTGTTTATTGAAGTTTCCAAGTATTTGTAACTTGATACTTTTTCAATTTGAATGCCATTTATACTAATATGTGCTGGTTGTGTCATGTTTTTACTGAAGACCATATACTTGGTTTTTCTGATATTTATGCCATAATTGTTGCTGGCAATATTTATAATTGTAAGTAATCGTAATTATTCTACTGTTCTTGCAACTAGTACAGAGTCGTCTGCGTATCGAATATTATTTACAAGCTCTCCACTGATTACGATTCCTTCATTTGCTTGCAAAAGGGTTTCCTGGCAGATGCTTTCACTATAAACAGTAAATAGCAGCGGTGACAAAATGCATCCTTGTCATACTCCTCTACATATTTCTATTGCTTGTGATATCTCATTTTCTGTTTTGATCTTAGCTTTCTGATGCTGATGATTGATGATTTTGATGAGCATATATGGAGCATGCTAAAAGGTCGCGTTAGTCGTCATATACCTGCTCCAACAACACCTGTAGAGCTTCCGCTGGCACTTGTTGAGGAATGGACCACTTGTCTCCAGATATCCAAAACGTTATTAATTCCATGCCAAATCGAATGAGGAGTGTTTTCCTGAATCGAGGTGTCAATACACATTATTGAAAACAAATACCAGCTTTTTTTGAATATACAGTTCATTGTTGTTTTATAAACTAAGTTGATTTTTCCAATAAATTTCCTATTTTTCTTAAATTTATTATTTTCGATTGATTTTTTGTAATGATCAAATTTTATGCCAAACTAGTTATTGATTCAATATACAAAAAAATAAATGCGTACTTTTTTTGCTATGACGCGGAATGTGTATCAAATTATCTTAGTCATTTATCAGAGTTAGTCGCCATACTCCTCCGAATCAGGTGCACCGATTTTTATGAAATTTTATATGTGTATTCGGTAGTTCTGAGAATAGGTTATCAATCTATTTTTCATACCTCTAAGTGATATGGGTGATCCATCCCAAAATTATTTTTTGTTAGTTTTTTTTGGACAAATGATTTTTTGTTTATTTTTTTATGTAGCATTAAACAATAAAATTCCCTTCACCCTTCATTTTTACCTGTCTATCACTAACCCCTAATTTTTAATAGCCATATTAGTAATTTAATCATTTTAACTGTGGTTGATAACTGATCAATTATCACGAGATCAGTTATCCCCACAAGGCGTCCACACAGTGTCACTTTTCACCCTGTAAACAGTATGGAGTAGGGATGAAAACAAAAGCCTGTCTCCTGTCTCCCTTGCACAATAGGGCTTCTCTCACTCCGAAAACTTTACACAGTTTTTGGCCTTTTACTTAATTTAATTAAATTAAACTAATTAACTTAAAATAAATAAGAATAAAATAAAAAATAATTAAAATAAAATAATATTAAATAAAATTAAAATAAAATAGAATACAATATAAAATAAAATAGACTCAAATCCATTCTTAAATTTGACATGATTTATTGGTCAAAATAAAATATTTCTTTAACATATTTAAATTAAATTAACTTAAATTAAATTAAATAAGCTAAAATAAAATAAATAAGAATAAAATAAAATGAAATAAAGTAGAATAAGATAGAAAAAAGTAAAATAAAATTAAATAAATTAAAACAGAAAATATTGGAATAAAATAAAATATAATAAAATTCATTCTTAAATTTGACATGAATTTAATGTCATTTGTCAAAATAAAATATTTCTTTAACATGTTTAAATTAAATTAACTTAAATTCAATTAAATTGAAATAAAATAAATAAGAATAAAATAAAATTAATTGAAATAGAATAAAATGGAAATTTGACGAATATTAACAGATCCGCAGTATGCTAATTCAATTGTTTGATCTATCTTTTATTTTATATTTTAATTTAGTTTATTATCAACCCATAATTTTTTATGTAGCTTAATATATCTGTTACAGAAAATTTATGACGCTCCATTAATATTTGACAGTAAATAAATTTTATCATTTCATCTAACAATAAATCACTGAAAACTTTTGTTTCAAAACTTCTTAACATTTATTACAATTTTTATTTTTTATCACTACAGCTGTTTAGTCACAGTGCTTTTCTCAATTGATCTATTTTTGGTATGCATTTACACTTTATACTAACTGAATAAGTTGAGGAAGGGAGAACTGTTTGTCTAAAGTTGGTCATTCAAAGGCACACTGTCTAAAAAGTTGTAGTGGTAAAAAATTAAAATTATAATAAATTTTGTGGAAGTGTTGAAAACAAAAGTTTTCAGTGTTTTATTTTTTAATAAAATGAATT